TGTTACAAATCCAAACAAATGTGAAAGATATTAAAATAAATAATTCTAAAATCATTGCAAGAACTAGGTGGTCAATGATTTATAAACAATATATTATATAGTTCGTCTATCTTTCAAATAAATGACATTGAAAATGAAACGTTGGAGCCTGATCAAAACATTTTTGAATGTTTGAATGAAGTTGACACTTCTTATAGGAATATTTATAATTTCATTGGTGTATTGTGTTTGAACATATGTACAATTATTTTAGAGTATGTACTTTTAGGTAATATGTGATGATTTCAAAAACTAATCTCGGGAAAATTACATGTAATAGAGATTTTGAAAAGTCAACTTTTATTTCGAGATGAAATTCATTCCCCCTGTAGGGCGATACATCCATGGGTAGGTATCAATTTGTCTATATATATAGAGAGAGTAATATAGTAGTTTATACAATGATAAAAAATAATCAACAATTTTAATGACACGATTAGTTATTTTGCAGAGATATTCATGCATTGTTAGTAGAAATATAATTATGATACAACCATGAAGTTTCACTATATGTTGGACTAGAATATTTTTTTAAGTATTTGAATAAAGTAGACGTTTTGCCAAATAAATTAAGATGAATTTTGCAATACAATTGAATCAGCAATGCTTCTTATGAGGATTTCAAAACGAAAGAGATCGCTATTGAATCATCTAACATAAACAAAGAAAAGAACTAATGCATGTATAATATATATTAGTTATTATTTAGTTATTTAGTGTTTTTGTTGGGGTTGTAATTTTTTTATTTAATTGCTTTTATATTAGGACATCGTTAAGTTATTTTAGAAAAAACAATTTATTCTACATTTTGTTTCATTATTGCAATGATATATTTAATCAATTAATTTATTTATTTTACAAAACTTAATCGGCAAAAAACAATTACATTATGAGCTCATTTATTCTACGTTTTATTTCATTCTTGCAATGATATTTTTAATAAATTAATTAATTTTTTTTACTAAACTTAATTGACAAAACATTCACCATCGCACGTGCACTTTACTAGTACACCAAAAAAGACCAATATAATCACCCATAAAACATTGACCTCATTGATATTAATGCCCAATAGCTCCCTTTTCCATACTTGTAATTCTCTTAGCAATCCAAGTCACTCCACCATGCTAGTATATATATATATATAGGATGTGGTTCAAATGAGAACCAAGTCCTAGCGTGAGAACCGTGAGAACCGCTATATATAGTTGTACGTAGTGCTATGATTGATTGTGTTTTTGTGCTATTTTTAACATGGATCTATTTTCTTAAAAAATAGCAACACAATTTATATTAACATTTATAAAAATGATAGCACCATATGATATTAAAAATAGCATCATACACAATAAAAAAATAGCATCAAATACAGTTCTCACGGTTCTCACATCAGGACTAGTTTTTATTCGAACTGACCCATATATATATATATATATATATATATATATATTGGCCTATAATAATTTACTTACGTATATATATCAACACTTAAAATCAAGGGGGTCATTAGGATAAACTAATTACATATATTGGCAGCTGACATATAAACTAATTTGATATCTTAATTGTTCAAGGACATTCTGTTTAAACTATTTAAGAACATTTTTTTTTTCAAATAAAAAATAAATAAATAAATAATTATTCTAACTCCGTTTTTCAGTTTTCGAGTACAACCCAGAATTCCACAACGTGATGCAAGTGACGCATGCCGAGTACCGAGCTTGCAACGTGTCATCTCCCATCATCACATTCACCACTGGCAATGACACAATTACCATAAAAACCCCTGGCCACCATTTCTACGTGTGTGGCGTGACAGGTCACTGCCAGAGTGGACAAAAGGTTGACATAAATGTCCCTATTAATGCTGTTATTACCACTACTCCCCCTCCCTCCGCCGTGTCCTCTCCTGTCCCTTCCATTACGAATTCCAGCAGTTTTGCAGCTCGCCCAATAAAAGCGACCTTCCGGAAGGTTTTCGGGTGGGCGGCGGCTTTGCAGGTGTTGCTCGCATTTTGTTAATTAAATGGTGCATTTGTGATCAGGCGTACGTATTATTCTGGTTTGAGAATAATTTGGCTAATGTTTGTGTATGAGACATTTATACTTCCGTTTTCATGAGCTCAATTTTTTGTTTTAAGATTTTAAGTGCGTATATATCCCTTTATATATTAACAGTGTTCATATATAGTGGTGTTTCTTAATACTATCATTCATAGTCATATGTCAACTTCTAGCAGTCGTAGATTTGGATTTTATCTCTACCAAATAGAACCTTTTAAATATAAAATTTGACTAAATTGAATTATAAACATATATATAAGTTAATAACTTTCGTATTTATTATTATATTTTCATATATAATATATTATTTTAGTTATCGTTTGACGAGATATAATGTGATATCCATATTGCCTATATAACATAAATTTAAATAAATATATTTTTCTTTATTATAAAATTAAATCATCTATTAGTAAAGTTATAAATCAATAAAAAACAATCTATAAATTCTTTATATATGAATTAGAAAAATTATTTTAACATAATACCAACAAATCGTATGGGTTAATTAAACATCTTATTTTAATCATAAATATTAATGCAATTTGTTTAAAAAAGTATTTAAAAATAATAAAAAAAAAAACTATCTCTTAATTTTTTGAAGATTTTTTTTGATAATTTTTTAACTAGCAACCACTAATCACGAATGCTGTACTAGTTAACATTTAAATTTGTTATGAATCATGTGCAACAAAGATTGTGGACTGACTTTAAAAAAAATGGTAGAAGAATTGAATTTTAGATATATATTTTGTAACGCATTCATTTATTTATACTAGTAAAGTGCACATGCGATGCACGTGGTGACGAATGATTTTTTCCGATTAAGTTTAGTAAGATAAATTATTAAACATAAGATTGCATTGCAGGAACAAAATAAAATGTAGAACAAGTAAACTCTTAATGTAATTTTTTTATTTTAAACTAACATAATGATGTCGTAACATAAAAATATTTAAATAACATATTACAATCCCAACAAAAAAATATGAAAAATGAGTCCCTAATAAAAAAAAACACTAAATAACTCACTAAACAACAAAAAATATTACAGCTGCATGAGTTCTTTTATTTATTTATGTTAGATACAAGAGTGATTTTCTTTCATTCTAGTCTTGACATTCTCATAACAAACATTCATACTCTCGTTGGAGCTCAACACATCAATAGCATTGCAAATTTTTTTCTTAATTAATTTAGCAAAACGTCTGTTTTATTCAACACTTAGAAATATTTTAGCCAAACATATAGTCAAACATCATGATTATATGATTATTATAAGATATTTTTACTAATTGTTCATAAATATCTCTGTGAAATAACCAACTGTGTCATTAAAATTCTTGATATTTTTTTAGTCATTGTATAAACTGCTACATTACTCTCTCTCTCTCTCTCTCTCTCTCTCCATATAGACAAATTGGTATCTACCTCATGATGTGGGGATGAATTTCATCCCTAAACAAAAGTTGACTTTTCAAAATCATGTACTTTTCCAGAGACGCTAAATTAATTTTTGAAATCATCACATAATTATATGAAAGTATGTACTCTAAAGTAATTGTGGTTATGACCGAACACAATACACAATTAAGATTGTAAACATTCCTATCAAAAGTTGACAACTTATTCAAACATTCAAAAATGTTTTGATCAGAATCAGACATTTCCTTTTCAGTGTTATTTATTTGGAAGATAAAGAACTACATCACCTATTATATTAAAATCATTGAACAGTTTGGTTGTTGCAATGATTTTAGAGTTGTTTATCATAATATCTTTTTCATTTGTTCGGATTTGCGATATTTATGCTTATTTAATGCATTTATTGTCCAACTTTTTGCACCATACATAATGCTTCGAAAATTCAAGATAAATATCATTTCTTGATTCTTCAATAATAACAAAACAAAACAGATAATGAGACAAATATCGAGAAACATATCATTGTTAAAATATTTGAGATGAGAAGAATTTGAATTCTATAATACTCTAATACTCTTAGTCACTGTGAACTTTATTATTATGAAGTCATTATTGAAGTTTATCTTCTATAATATGATAATATGGAATCATTATTTATGAGAACCAATTTCTTATAGATAATATATATTTAAATGTTAGCAACAAAAAAGTAGTAATTTTAAAATATTTTTGTTTCTTGATATTTGTATTCATACTTTTCTAAAAAAATTCAGACTTTTTCTTTTTTCTATTGCATTACAGTTGCTTTATTTGTTTTTTATTTTATTCACAAATAATATTTTATTTATTGAAAGAATTAGAGCACATTTATATGCATTGTTTTTTTACGTGTAATAATATATTTGATAAAAATGTACTTTTATATTGTTTGTAAGATTAAAAAGTTTGAATTTTTTTTCCATTGTTTGATAAAATATTAAGTAACCAACTCACTATCATATTCACAAAAAATATATTTTACAACTGCTACAGTTTAACATACAACTCATTTATTTTTTCTTTTAATTCACATAATTAATGTTGGTAATCGTTGTACGTTTAAATCTATTTGCACTTTTTTCTTAGTATGAATATTTCAAATCTATGTAAAAAAAATATACTACAAGTTTATCTAATCTTATTTATTAATTAATAAAATTGAGTTAACATGGATCTATAATTTATTTTATAAGATACTTTTAAGTTGTATATCTTAATATTATATTATATACAATTACAATTTTCTCACTAATATTATAATCAATTAGTCATAACTTATAAATTAATCAATAATAGTGTCAAGTCATCTATACTATAACATAGATTTTTTGTTCATCAGATTTTAAAATATATATTATTTTCAATGATTTGCTTAATTTTAGTTGAGAAAAATTATGTTTTTTTAAAATACTTTTAACTTTGTAACTGTATAGATTTGCTAAACATGTATTACAAATGAGAAAGATGACAAATTATGAAAAGTATAATTTATATTTTGTAATGACATTATGTTATTTTGACGATATATTTTTTCTATTAGCTAAATAGTGCCTCCAATATAAAATTGTCTGTATCTAACACTACAATTAGCTTTCCAATGCAACTTTCATTGAATTTTTTACAATTCCAATAAAAAAAATTTCCAACGTAGAAATATGTTCCGAAAGAAAAATCAAATGAATTCACACAAGAAAATAAATAATGGTAATTCGAATAATTAAATCCACTAAAATTCCATTATAATTTAATTTGATCTATGTCGGAATAGCCAGTGATATTTTCCAATGAAAGCTACGCAAATGAAATGTCCTTTGAAATTTTTAGTGGAACACCTTATTGTTCGATTTTTCATTGCAATATAGCATTTTATTTTTTGCATTTCTTTTTAAACATTAAAATTTTTATGTTATAGTTTTTCTATTAATTAATTCCGTTTACAATTTCTTTTATTAAAAATATATTAAACACATGAATTTTTTAGTCCATATAACATTATAGAAATCACTCGTTATTTTAAAACAAGATTACCTATTAATTTCTCAATTCAATTACAACCTTTTACGTATTAATATTAAATACAAAAATAATTATTATTTTATATTGTAATATAATATTTATATATTATATTAAAAAAACTAATAAGCAAATAAAAAGTTATTTAAAATTCTAATAATTACTTTTTTAAATATTAAAATTTCCAATCTACATGTATAAAAGTACAAATAACCATTATCTATTACCTAAAACTTACACATAGAACTAATAAGCACAAAAAATTAAGAAGAAATAAACAATTCGATTCATTTACATCGATAAGTATAAGTTTTAAAAGTTTTTATGTTTACTTTTATTGGTTATAAAATTTTTATTTATTATTTGTGTTCATATTTATTAGTAAGTCTTACACCTTAATTATATTTTTAAAGTTATTCATCAGATTTAATATTTTTTTACTTTCATATTGTTCTTTAATTTAGCACACATCTTGAAAATCAATGGCTCAAATAAAATAATAATAATTAAAATATCATGATATTTTACTTAATTATTGAATGTAAAATCCATATATTTTAAGTGTTAATAATTAAAATATTACTCACCTTGATATTAACCATCTAATGATCAAGTGAAAATTCGTTAATTTTATTCACTTTGTGACTAAAATTGGAAAAAACAAACAAACAACCAAATGACAATTTTTGTGAGATCGAAATTCAATCCAGTAAAACTAAAGTGCAATTTCTATTCTAATTCTAAATATAAGAGTTTACTTTTCGTAAATAATGAAGTAGTTTAATGAATTGTTCAACTTTTATAGTTTGTCAGATAATGTATAAAATTATATTAAAAAGAAGGATTTTTTCAAAGCTTTGTTGTTTAGGTTGACGTTGGGTTGATTTTTGGGAGATATGTGGAAGAAAGCAATTTTGTGAGAAATAATGGTGCGTGAATATTTTGTTTGATTTTTAGAAGATGTGAAATGTATTGTTCATGTATTTGTATTTTATTAATTAAGCATTAGTTATTAATTAAAAATATAAGATATGATATGTATTAGGGTATTACTAATTTACCATTAAAATCATGTTAAAGTAAGGGTTTTTTAGGTAATTTATTTTTTTTAATTAAAAATACAAAATAAAATATGTATTAGTGTATTACTAATTTGCCATGAAAAATATGTCAAAGTAAGGTTATTTTAGGTAGTTCATATTTTTACAAAAATACTCGTCCTTTTAGAGTAGTATAATAATAATAGATAAAATGGAAAAAATGGAAAATATCAAAACTAGTCATGTAGCTTTTTGGTTATCCATTTTTAGTTCTATTAGGATGATGTTTCCAAAAACAAGATAACTTTGTAAATTCAATCAAAATAAGGACAATTGTTATTGGAATTTCCTTTTCCGGCCCAGAAATTCCAATTGTTGTTGGAACTGCCTTCAACCAAACAAGCTTTAAATGAGCTCGAGCTTGGGTCGTTAAAGCCTCAAGCTCGAGCTGAACGAGCCTTAACGAACCAAGCTCGTTTAATTTAACAGCACTAGGTGCTGCCTTTGGGTTATTTTCTGCGTGACCCCTCGAAAGAGGATGCAGTACGTAACTTCGAAGGTCGTCGGCCAGACTGGTTTTGCAACTTGGTGGAGTCGGATATTCTTTTGATGGTATGGACACGGTTTACAGGCGAAGATCATGGAGATGTCAGAATCGGAAAAAGATGTAATGACAACATTGTATCATACTCCCTCCGTTTCTTATTAAATGTCGTTTTAATTTAAAACTTCTAAATTACGATTTTAATGGGTTGTGTAATGATCATATCTTTTAATCTTATTAAATTTAGTTTTTGAATTTTTAATGGGTGGTTTTTAAAGATAATGATAAGAGATAATGTTTGTTAAAGAGAATAAAGATGTAAGAATGAATATAATATTTCCAACGACAATTAATTTGCAAAAAAGTTGACACCCTACAACGACATTTAAAATGAAAGAGAGGGAGTAATTTTTATATTTTCTCGGCATCGCAAGGAATATGCATTAATATTTATGTGAGAATTGTATCATAGTTTTTAATAATGTACGATAAATAGTGACTCGTGTTATTTCTATATTTAATTTGTAATACAATTATGATATTGTTTCTTGTACAATGATAATAGCAGCCTTTATGCATATCCATATCCAATCAATTATCCATCTAGTTTGTTAAAAGGAGTACTATTATAAATTTGATCCGTTTAGTAATATTAAAGAAATAATAAATCAAAAAATTGGATTTTATTGTGGATAACGCTCGAACTTATCCTTTTAACAGTCAACAATCCCAGACTGAAGATGTTACATAAATAACGATACCAAACTTAAACTTAAACCCAAAAAATACTAACAATTAAACGGATATTCAAAACGTCTCTGAAAATTGGATAAAGCAGACCTATTTTTCAACCTTTTTACCCATTAATCCGCTTTCAAATCCCAACAAAATCTCTGTTTGACCCAATATTTATCCATCCTTAAAAATTATCCAAACCAATCCGACTTTTGAACTGCTTAGAGTGAGTTTAGTAGTTTACTTAGACTACATTTATATAAACAGAGTCGGTACAAAAAATCTGGAGATAAAGGATCGAAACATATTTGATTTTTTCTATTTATTCCCCTTCTTATGTACATAGTGAAAAGTGACTTTCTCGTGTATGTTTGCTTCATATCGAGCTCGTCTTGATAATTATTTTTCCTTTCAGTTTCTTTTTGTGACAACATACATATCAAACAGGAAAATTTTTGGTAAAAGAATAAGTGAAAAAATGGGGAGCAATCAGATGGAAAGTTACAACTCTAAGATGACAGCTTATGTCTTCGCCTGTTGGATTCTCGCTGCCTTTGGTGGTCTCATGTTTGGTTATGACATTGGAATTTCAGGTATGAAATAACAATATTCTTCAATTCTATTATTCTGAATTTAAATTTGGTCATATACTGTTACCATCGTAAAAATAATCCAATTTATTTATTGTAATTTTTTAATTTAAAATATTTGTTTGATCAGGTGGTGTGACGTCCATGGACGATTTCTTGATTAAGTTTTTTCCCAAAGTGCACGCCCGTAAAATGCACGCATACGAAGACAATTACTGTAAATACGACGATCACATGCTCCAACTATTCACTTCCTCTCTCTACTTAGCAGCACTTGTGGCCAGCTTCTTCGCATCAAAGGCATGTACAGTTTTGGGCAGACGCCCAACTATTACAATGGCGTCCGTTTTTTTCATTCTCGGCGCAGCACTGTGCGCCTTCGCGGAGTTCAAATGGATGCTTATAGTTGGCCGGATTTTATTCGGCATTGGTGTTGGCTTCGGAAACGAGGTACATTTTTTTTTTTTTTTTTTTNCGGTCATTCCTTCATTATTAATATTTAACATAAAAATAAAAAAGAAAAAAAATGCAGGCAGTCCCGTTGTTTCTAACGGAAATAGCACCGATTCATCGAAGAGGTGGAGTGAACATACTCTTCCAACAATTCGTCACAATCGGCATTTTCATAGCTAATCTCATAAACTACGCCACGTCAAATATTCACCCGAATGGCTGGCGAATCTCGTTGGGGCTTGCAGCTGTCCCGGGAGCTGTTCTCTTTGTCGGGTCACTAATCATAACCGAGACTCCTGCCAGCCTGGCACAGAGAGGTCGTGAGGACGAGGCTAAAGCCGCCCTGAAAAAAGTCAGAGGTGTTGAGGACGTCGACTCTGAGTTCAGTCAAATCTTGGCAGCTAGCGAGCAAGGCCGCCAGGTCAAGAACCCGTTTACAAAGATATTCAAGAGAAGATCGATACCGGCACTAATCGTGTCGAATGCCATTCAAGTCTTCCAACAGTTCACCGGGATTAACGCAATCATGTTTTACGCCCCGATTTTGTTCCAAACATTGGGCTTCGGAGCCGATGCCTCGTTGCTCTCGTCGCTTATCACGGGTTTGGTAAACGTCTTCTCGACTTTGGTCTCGGTTTTCGCGGTGGACAAGTTTGGGAGGAGGAAGTTGCTCCTCCAGGCGTGCGTTCAGATGTTGATTTCCCAAGTGCGTACGACAATTAATTCATTTTTTTTGTTTGCTTGTTTTACGCAGCGTTTGTTTTGTTAAAATAAATATTGAGATGATGATTTGCATGTTGTTCGCAGGTCGCGATTGGTGGGATACTTGTAGTCCACCTCAAGCCGACTGGGTCGCTAGACAAGGGGTTGGCGGGCGTTGTGGTGGTGCTCGTGTGCACGTTTGTGATGTCGTTTGCGTGGTCGTGGGGACCAATGGGTTGGCTTATCCCGAGCGAGATTTACCCAATCGAGACCCGAACGTCTGGATTTGCGGTGGCAGTGAGCTCTAATATGATCTTTACGTTCGTAATCGCGCAGGCGTTTCTGTCGATGATGTGTCACATGAAGGCCTACATTTTCTTCTTCTTTGCGGCGTGGATTGTGGTGATGGGCTTGTTTGTGATGTTTCTATTGCCTGAGACGAAAGGAGTGCCGATCGACCTCGTTGAGGAGAGGCTCTGGAAAAAGCACCCCGTTTGGAAGAGGTTCTTCAAGGAAGAAGTGAAGAGCTATGATATGGCATGAAAGATAGGAGTATGAGATAATTATTAGGCGTATCTTCTCTTTAGTTCTTTGATCTCACAAACTATATCATCATCATTTGTTAAATATTTTTCTTCTTTCAACTATTTGGGTACCCGTGCGATGCACGAGAGTAATTTTATTGTCTACTTGCTTTTTATAAGATATTTTTGTATTTAAATTGTCTCATATCATTAAAAGTATCATGGAAATGAAATTTATATATATTATTGAACACTTCATTATGTACAACATTCTTGATTTGATTCTTTTGGACATATCGTACTTACATGGGTGTTCGAATTTTATTTGAAATTGCATATTATTAGTTATTAGTTAACAAATTATGTTTTACAGAAAAATATTAAGTGATCTTATTTAATATGCAAAATTCTACTAGAAAAAAAAGTAGAGATTTTTGGGATTTTCATGCCATTTTATTTTTATTTCTTTTAAATTTAATTAAAATTTTGATTAACAAAAAATTTTAATATTAACAACTCATTTACTTTTATAAAATTATTTTTAGTAATATTTTTCCGTACCGTGTTCATACTAATAGATGGATAGATAGGATGGATTACTACCAAGGCTGGGTGGATGATATTTATAATTTCCACGATTTATGCATGGATAAGAAGCAAAATGATGGATAAAATTTTTTGTTAATCTTATATAAATTCTAAAATCATATCTAGAATATTTAAAATCATATGTCTAGAATATAAAAATAGTATATGTTGAGCTAATATTGATAATTTGAATCGTGGCTCATGATAACTACTATAAATTAATATATATATCCTAGTTCAAAATTAATATATATATTTTATCAAAATATTAGAGTAAAAAAATCATAAAAAATAAAAAGTAAATATAAAATCAGGTAAAAAAAATAGTTAATACATAAAAATTAAGTATTACATTATAATAAATAAATTTATATATAAAAAAAATCAATGAGGAGTAACATGGCACTCAGCCTCTCGAACATGACTTCCTACGTCCAACTGGTCCAGCAAAAGGGTCTCACACACTCTGTACATTGCGTTTGCGCCAAAGCCTTAACAGGCCATCTCGCAGGATTGTACCTCAAACATCCAATTGGGTCCTTTTTCCTCAACTCCACAAACTTCTGCTTGGCAGTCTCGAAAAGCTCCGAGATTACATTTTTCGGGCTCTTTCCTCGAAGCCTCGTCTCACGGAGGTCCACGTCGAGCCATCTATAGTGAAGCTCGACTCCCACCCACACGATCTCGGCTGCTCTATTACAATAAAATACATAGTTCCACTTGTCAATCCGCTTTTCTGTTCAAAAGTGTGATTTTTTTTCCTTTTGGATATGAGTTCGAATTGATGCGATTTACCCAGTATTGGTCCACCCTTAAAAATTATCCAAACCAATCTGATCAGTGCAATCTCTTTCTTCTTATTCACTATATTCTCTCTACCTTAATTTGGGGAGAATCGCCAAATTAACAATGTCTCATCGGATTTAAGACGAGTCAATTGGTGTACACTCTTTTGAATCCACAAGAGTGAACATTCAACATTTTTCTGCTACATATCCAAAGATAATATCGAATAATAATTATGTGATTTTGGGCAAATATGTGCCATATATTCTAAACAATTTGAACGTAAAAAATGTTTTAAAGTAGTGTTAGCATAATTCAAATATAAGTGATGTGGCGATGAACAAAATTCCATCTACTTCAACATTTGCATTTCGGTATTAAAATACGTAAGACAGCTCATATAATGCAACCTAAAGTCTTGAACAAGTTGGTGAAGTAAAATGAGGAATGTGCTGAAAGTATAATTTTGTCATGTGTCCAATTTCTTCGTCATCATCAACTCATCATGCCACGCCTTCCCCTTTTGCCTCGTCTCTGAAGAACCTCTTCCAAACGGGATGCTTTTTCCAGAGCCTCTCCTCAACAAGCTCGATTGGGACGCCTTTCGTCTCTGGCAATAGAAACAGCACAAACAAGCCCATCACCACAATCCACGCCGCAAAGAAGAAGAAAATGTAGGCCTTCATGTGACACATCATCGACAGGAATGCCTGCGCTATTATGAACGTAAATATCATGTTGGAGCTCACGGCCACTGCAAACCCTGCTGTTCGGGTTTCGATTGGGTAGATCTCGCTGGGGATTAGCCAACCCATTGGGCCCCACGACCACGCAAATGACATCACGTACGTGCAAACGAGCACCACCACAATGCCGGCCATGAACTTGTCTAGTGACCCAGTCGGCTTTAGGTGGACTAGAAGAATCCCACCAATCGCAACCTAAAAAAAAAAGAAAAAAAATGTAGGTATTTTGTGAAAGGTTTAGATTGTTTTTTCCAACCAGTACTATACGTGCTTTTGGAGTTTTCAACTTAAAGTATTTTTTTTTGTAAAATGCAACCTAAACTACATATACATCATTATTTGCACGCTCGTCGCCTACTTTTTGACCATAAACTGACACGTGTACGGTCATGAAGTGGGTAAGCGTGCAAATAATGAATGTATACGTAGTTTAGGATACAATTTACACTTGAAAATTCCAAACGCACGTATAGTACAAGTTGGAAAAAATTATTTACCCTTTGTAAAATCTGATTTACAAGATCGATGTTCTTATTATAAACTTTTACAATAATTATTAAATTTGTTTTCTTATTTTCTTCTTTTAAAAGAACAAGAAAAAGGAAAGAAAAGAAGATGAATGTATGTACCTGTGAAATGAACATCTGGACACAAGCCTGGAGAAGCAACTTTCTCCTCCCAACCTTATCCACCGCGAAAACCGAGACAAAAGTCGAGAAGACATTAACCAAACCCGTGATAACAGACGACAGCAACGAGGCATCTGCACCGAAGCCCAACGTCTGGAACAGAACAGGCGCGTAGAACATGATTGCATTAATCCCAGTGAACTGCTGGAACATCTGAATGGCATTGGACACAATCAAAGCCGGTATAGCCGATCTCTTGAACAGCTTCCTAAACGGGTGTTTGACCAGCTTTCCTTGCTCGTTGGCCGCCACAATCAGTTGGAACTCTGCCTCCACGTCATCCACTCCTCTCACCTTCTTTAAGGCAGCCTTGGCCTCGTCTTCCCTGCCTCGTTGTGCCAGGCTGGCGGGGGTCTCGGTTATGATTAGTGACCCGACAAAGAGTACGGCTCCTGGGACTGCCGCAAGCCCCAACGAGATTCGCCAGCCGTTCGGGTGAATATTTGATGTGGCATAGTTTATGAGATTAGCTATGAAAATGCCAATTGTGACGAATTGTTGGAAGAGGATATTGACCCCACCTCTGTGCTGGATTGGCGCGATTTCCGTCAAAAACAATGGAACCGCCTGACAGAACAAAAATTTAATTTCCGAGAATTATTATTTGATAGAATCAGAGAAAGAGGGTGCAGTTCTCTACGCAGGTGAAGCGCACCATAAGAAGGTGAACCTAAGTGTACTTTAGTGAGGTTCCATCCTAAAAATCAGTTGGTGATGGTGAAGTAGTTCACTGGGCTTATAAGTTATAAGTTAGACTCATTTACCCTTCAGAATCAATGTGGGACAACTGAAACAGGTGATATTCCAACATTGTTTAGACAAATTTTACTATCTTGATTAATGTAATATGTGAAAATGGAAAATGACAGTTAGTTTTACGTACTTCATTTCCGAAACCGACACCAATGCCGAACAGAATGCGGCCGACGATGAGCATCCACTTGTGCTCGGCCAGGCCGCACAAAATGGCGCCCAGAATGAAAAAGCTTGACGCCATTGTAATTGTTGGGCGTCTGCCCAAAACTGTACATGCCTTTGATGCGAAGAAGCTGGCCACAAGTGCTGCTAAGTAGAGAGATGAAGTGAATAGCTGAAGCATGTGATCGTCGTATTTACAGTAGTTGTCTTCGTATGCGTGCATTTTGCGCTCGTGCACGTTTGGGAAAAACTTGATCAAGAAATCGTCCATGGACGTCACACCACCTGATCATATATTCAAATTTTCACCAAAAAGTATATTGAAATGAAGTGAATTGTAATGTGATTGAAAGTCAACACAAATCAAAATTCGAATTTCGAAATTCAAAATATGTACCTGAAATTCCAATGTCATAACCAAACATAAGGCCACCAAAGGCAGCAAGAATCCAACAGGCGAAGACATAAGCTGTCATCTTAGAGTTGTAACTTTCGATCTGATTGCTCCCCATTTTCCGGCTTTTTNAGAACTTTATCTATCTGTGATGTGTGTTTTTGAAAAGGAATTCTAAAAATGATCAGATATGCCTAGAAAGAAAATTATATGCACAAATGTGACTTTTTTCTTTTATATTGTTATATTTTCTTTACATATATTTAGGGGAGAAATGGGACGAATATGTATAGAAATAAATCTGACACAATCTTTGTCCTTATTCTTCCCTTCCATATATATTAACAAGAGCCTAATGAAAGTTGTTCAGGACATGACCCTTTTATGCTGCAACATGCGATTTTAGGCTAGGGATAATTAGCGGATGGGATTACATTTAGTAATATTTCACTGGATATTAGCATGATTTTGTGGTTGTGATGAATTGGCGAATGAAAGAGCTAGAAACAAGAAAGAAAATAAGAATAGAGAATGCTAAAGTATCGGCAATTGAGGACTAATTGATGGTGATACGTTTTTTCAAGATCTCCCGAGTTCATGCCAAAAGGATGGGCTCTTTATAATTTGGATATATTGATTTCTTGTTAGGATATATGTATGTAATAACTTTATGTACGACTTATTTGGGATTCCATTTTGCTTTCCTTCTTTTTATTTTTCGGCATCACTGATGGTATTTCAATTAATAGTTTTCATGTGAGTAATAGGATTTGCCATATTGTTGAGGGTGACTCGAATTAGCCATGAAATAATCTCGATATATTTGTGTAATAACTTTTTCAAGATGATAATCCAAATCCAAACGATATATTACTTATAAACACTTACCAAAAATCAATCTTGACTAACTCCATCATTTTGCTCCTTATCCATGCATAAATCGTGGATATTACAAATATCATCCACTCAGCGTTGGTAGTAATCCATCCTATCTATCCATCTATTAGTATGAACACGGTGCGGAAAAATATTACTAAAAATAATTTTATAAAAATAAATGAGTTGTTAATATTAAAATTAATTTTATATATTCAATGTGACGCAACATGTACCTAATTAGTCGTAAATAACATTATATCATCATTTTGTCCCTATACAAACCAACACATCTCTCCTTATCTCTTAATTCAAAACATGTTAAGCCTAAGTGGCAGGTTCGCACGTTTTGGATGCTGACTTGTCAAATATCTAGGTTTTGTAATTTGGTGTGTGCAAAAATTATGGTTTGGAGTTAAGCTTGGTATGATTCATAAATATTCTTTTTATCTAACTTTATTGGAGTAACTCATAAGTGATCTCACACACATGCACATGTACTCAGACGTGTTAATATGTAGAGTACTGTTATACTGTTAGTTAGTTAGGTTTATGCATGCTTAATGACATGATTAGTTAGGTGACTAAGATTAGGTTACTGAGATCATCTTCTCACTTGCATCTCTGTATATTAACACTCTCTGAGATTGATGAATCACACAACTCACATTATGTCTTTTACTATCTCTCCCCTCTCTCTGTTATGGTATCAAAGCTAGGGTAGATTTTTTTTCAGCCATGGCCGAGCTCCTTGTCTCGTCGCCGGCGTCGCCCTTTCTTCCTCACCTAACTCCGCTTCCTCTCCGACTTGATCGATCCAATTTCTCGTACTGGAAACTTCAAATTCTCTCCACTGTTCGTGCGTATGGATTTGAGGATTACTTGATTCAGCTGTCGTCTCCAGCCAAGTTTCTCTCTGCCGCTGATGGATCGTCCTCCTCTGTTCTTAATCCAGCCTTCGTCACTTGGATGCGCACTGATCAGCTCATCATGAGTTGGATGCTTGCTTCGATGTCTGAGTCCATGCTTGGACACGTCACTCGCTGTTCTTCCTCTGCTGAGGTTTGGTCTGTTTTACTGCAACTTTTTCACTCGCAATGCAAAGCTCGTGTGTTGCATCTGAAATTCCAACTTCAATCCCTCAAAAAAGGTGACTTATCGGTTGATGATTATATTCTGAAAATGCGTAGCTTTGCGGATGAACTACTTTCAGTTGGACATTGTATCTCTGATGATGAACTTGCTATGTATGTGCTTGGTGGTTTGGGTGCGGATTATGAATCTGTTGTTGTTAATCTTACTTCTCGACTTGATTCCATCTCCTTGCCTGAAGTTCAGTTCTCTTACAGACTCATGAGATGCGATTAGCCAGTAATACGGTTTCTTCTCCGGTAGCTTTTCCGGCTGTTTCTTCTTCTGTGTCTGATAATGTCTTCTCAGCAAATTTTGTGCAGTCACGTGGCCGTGGTGGTTTTTATAGAGGCCGAGGTCGGTCCAATCGTGGCCGTGGTCGATTCTATAAGAATTCTGATCGGGTCATATGTCAGCTTTGTGGTAAATCCAACCATGTTGCCTTGAAATGCTATAAGCGATTTGATATCAGTTTTACAGACCAAGATGTTTCCTCTTCATCTCCTCAAGTACATCTTGGGGAAGCCAATTCCTCTCCACCTCTCAGTGCCTCCTCATCCACCTATGGCTCTGACCCGAATTGGTATTTTGACAGCGGTGCTACAAATCACCTCACTGCCAATCTTGAGAATTTGTCTCTTCAAGCACATGGTAGTGCTACAGTTCTTGTTGGCAATGGTTCTAAATTGTCTATTTCTCATACTGGAACTTCATCCATTGCTGCCAACCATCATTTACCTGTGCTTTTGAACAATGTGCTCCTTGTACCTCATATCACCAAAAATTTGCTATCAATCTCCCAATTAACCAAGGATAACAACATTGTTATTGAATTTCATTCTGATTTCTGTCTTGTGAAGGACAAGATCACACATCAAATTCTACTGGAAGGGGTGCTTAAGGATGGCTTGTATCAACTGGATTTGTCGAAGCACAACTCTCTACTTCATCATCTCTCACCACCACAGTCTACATTACCTCATTGCAGCTTTACAGCTTCTGTTCCTGCTTCAACTTCTATTCTCAGCAGTGCTGCTCTTTCTTGTTGGCATAGAAGCTTGGTCATCCTTCCCTGAATGTGTTTAAAAGGGTTATGAACAGTTTGAACTTGTCTGTTCCTTCTACTCTACCTTTTTGTGATGCTTGTAAGCTTGGCAAACTTCATCAGATGCATTTTTATTCTCAGCAAACTAAAACCACTTTTCCTTTTGAACTTGTCCATTCAGATGTCTGGGGTCCTTCTCATGTGTTGGCTATTGATGGTTATAGATATTACATGCATATTATTGATGACTACACCAGATACACATGGATCTTCCCTTTAAAGTCCAAATTTGAAGTTGCTTCTACTTTTAAGAAATTTGTTAAGTTCATTGCTACACAGTTTAAAGCCACTATAAAATGTTTGCAATCAGATTGGGGTGGTGAGTATAGGTCTCTTGTGCCCTTTCTCAATGATCTTGGCATCCATTTTAGACACCCTTGTCCTCACACACACCAGCAGAATGGCAGGGCTGAGAGGAAGCACCTACACATTGTTGAAATGGGCCTCTCTTTATTGGCTCAGGCCCATTTGCCACTCAAATTTTGGTGGCATGTCTTTGTTGCAGCCGTTTATACCTTAAACAGACTTCCAACACCTGTTTTACACCATGCTTCTCCCTTTTCTCTCTTATACAAAATGTCTCCTGATCTAAAGTTCCTCAAATCTTTCGGCTGTGCATGCTTTCCCTATCTTCGACCTTACATGCTCATAAGTTTCAATATAGAAGTTCTAAGTGCCTATTTCTAAGTTATAGTCTTAATTACAAGGGCTACCTTTGTCTTAGTCCTCAAGGGAGGATGTACACAGCCATTTCAGTGGCCTTCAATGAAGATGAGTTTTCTTAGGAGCAGTTGTTTCTTCCTTCTTCTTTTGTTAGTCCTCCTTTACCTTCCCTTGTTTCTCTTGTTCCTATTGTTTCTTCTTCACAGCCATCTCAATTTGTCCCTCAGCCAGATAATATTTTACACCAACCTCCTATTGTTTCCCAATCAAATGATCCTTCTTCTCCATCCACTGTTCCTCTCTATGTACATTTACCTATTTCTCCTTCTTCCACTTCTTCTAGTTCTATTTCACCTCCCTCACCCTCACCTCAGCAACACCCTTTGCCACCTCAGTCTCATCCTACACATTTTATGACTACTAGATCAAAGGCTGGCATCTTTAAGCCTAAAACTTATGCAGCCAACCTCAGCAAGCCCTTGCTCATTGAGCCTGCTATTTTATAGCTGAGGCTCTTTCTAGACCAGAGTGGCTAGCTGCAATGAAGAGTGAGTTTCAAGCCTTGTTACACAACAACACTTGGATTTTAGTTGATCCAACTCCAGATATGAAGGTCATTACCAACAAATGGGTTTTCAGAACAAAGTATAATCTTGATGGTTCAGTGGATAAGTTCAAGGCTAGGTTAGTAGCTCGTGGTTTTGAACAGACAGCTGGTGTGGATTTTTTGGAAACCTTTAGTCCAACAGTCAAGGCCAGTAATATTAGGCTGGTGTTCACTTTAGCTGCTACCTATGGTTGGTCCATTCAACAAATTGATATCAATAATGCATTCCTAAATGGGGATCTTCAGGAAACAATTTTTATGGCTCAGCCTACAGGGTTTGTTGACTCTTCTAGACCATCAGCTGTGTGCAAACTTACCAAGTCTCTATATGGACTTAAACAAGCTCCAAGAGCTTGGTTTCACAAGCTCAAAGGTTTTCTTTTGTCCCTTGCCTTTAAGGAGTGCATCTCTGATTCTTCCCTTTTCTTTAAAAGGTCAGGAGGTGAGTTGCTTCTCATTCTCATCTATGTGGATGATATTTTAGTCACTGGTGATAATGCTGCCAATGTCAATGCCTTGATTATTCTCTTGGCCAACAGTTTGCCTTAAAATCCATGGGTGAAGTTAACCATTTTCTTGGCTTTGAGGCCCTTAGGCATGCTGATGGATCTGTTCTCAATCAATCCAAGTATGCTTTGGATCTTCTTGTTAAAACAAATATGGTAAAGTGTAAGCCAGTTTCTACTCCTATTTCTCCAGCTCATAAGCTTCATCTAGCATACAGTGAGTTCTTTTCCAATCCCACCTTGTATAGAAGTGTTGTGGGGGCCTTGCAGTATTTGACCATGACAAGGCTTGACATTTCATTTGCTGTCAATAAATTGAGTCAGTTTCTTCATAAGCCTACTATTCATCACTGGCTTGCCTGCAAACATTTGTTGAGGTATATCAAAGGCTCTCTTACACTTGGTCTCAATTTTTAGCCTGTGCAAAGGTTTACACTTGCAGCATACACTGATGCTGATTGGGCTGGATGTTTAGATGATTGAAGATCTACAGGAGGTCACTTCATCATGCTCAGTTCTAATCTTTTATGTTGGAGTTCCAAAAAGCAGCAAGTTGTGTCAAGAAGTAGTGCAGAGTCTAAGTATAGATCACTTGCCACTGCCACATCTGATCTTATATGGCTGCATTCATTATTTCATGAGCTTGGCATTTTTTTTTAATCTCCCTCTGTCCTTTGGTGTGATAACATGAGTGCTGCAGCCCTTGCTTCAAATCCGGTGCACCGTGCTTGCACTAAACATATTGAAATTGATGTTCACTTTATGAGAGAAAAAGTAGCTGCTAAAGAGGTTGATGTTAGGTATGTTTCCATAGAGCTGCAATTGGCAGACCTTCTTACCAAGCCTCTTGCTACTGGTCGTTTTCATTCTCTCTGCTCCAAGTTACCTCTTCATGACAAGTTTTTGTCTTCCCCTCGCTCGGTTTCAAGGGGGTGTATTGGAGTAACTCATAAGTGACCTCACACACATGCACATGTACTCGCACGTGTTAATATGTAGAGTGTGTTATACTGTTAATTAGTTAGGTTTATGCATGCTTAATGACGTGATTAGTTAGGTGACTGAGATTAGGTTACTGAGATCATCTTCTCACTTGCATCTCTGTATATTAACACTCTCTGAGATTGATGAATCACACAACTCACATTATGCCTTTTACTATCTCTCCCCTCTCTCTGTTAAACTTAATTGGTAATTCCCTTTATTTTTGTCCATTATCTTCTTAACTTGGCCAACCAAATACCTTCTCATCTTTATAATATTATGCCCAATAATATTAAAGAAGATATCATTTCATCTTTGATCCATGACAACCCCAATAAATCTCTATCATTTTTCATTATAATTAGTGGCACAAATATAAAGATGTTGTTAGTTGTACATGGTGCATTTTCTCAATTTTTATATCATAATTTTATACACTTATTTAATTTATACCATTCTTAAAACCAATATATGCGTATAATTTTTTATTATTTCAACCTTAATTCATCTAATATGTCAATTGATTTTACCTATGTGGTAATACCTTTCTTCACACTTCAAAAACTTTAACATAATTCGTAACATGATTTTAACACAATATAAAAAATCGAATGCCTAAATTTGGGTTATTTACCCATGATACCATAATTCAATTAGTTGTGATAATTTATATTTTTTAATTTTTTGTTTTCATAATAATATTACAAATTAATGTTGACAAATTATGTTTTCCTATTCGTTTTTTAAAGTGACTAATATCTTACTAACACTAGAGATGTTAAACGGGCTAACCCTAGCGGTTTCGGGCTAGCCCTAGCGGACTTCGGGCTAAACGATCTGGGCCTAAAAAGCCTGGATTTAAACGAGCTACCAATAAAAGGACCTAACCCTAAATCTAGCGGGCTTCGGGCTTATCGGGCTATAATAATAATAATAATAATAAAAATAATAATAAATTACAACACTTAGATAACGGTTTTTTTGAACGGCTATTTAGTATTTACCACTATATATATACAACTACACTTTATATATGAACACATTACAAACTCTTAAATAACATATTGTTTCTTAATAGAAAAAAAATATTCGAACTATTACTTATAACTACCATTTGTCTAGTTATTTGGTGCGCTTCGGGAATTTTGACAATATAGCATACTGCTGAATTTATATTTTATCAATATATTCTATGTGTTCGGTCTTTGTCTCATTTATTTTTTATTAGCCGTTCTGATTGGCTTAAATATTTTGCTGTGAAATAGAATAAAATTTGTTAATAATTATCTATCAAAGTAATGATAATATATTATAACTCATAATTACATATGAAATAGAATAGCAAAATTGTAATATACAAGGAATCATGAGACATATTTCTTACCTTTCTAAAAACATATACACCACTCAACCCAAGTTAAACGGGCTAGCCCTAGCGGGCTTCGGGCCAAACGGTCCGGGCCAAAAAAGCCCGAATTTAAACGGGTTGCTAATAAAAAGCCCTAACCCTATTTTTTTTCCGGGCTAAACAGGCAGGCCCGTCGGGCCAAGGACCATTTAACATCTCTACTAACCACTTAATATGTATAAAATGAACCACTCTGCAAAATAATTGACAACATCGTTCAATTCTATTGCTGAAATTACTATTGCAAAAGAACATGGTGAATTCGTGTCCGTTGTTTATGAGTATTGTTTACACACATGCTAAACTAGCCCAAATTGCAACATACTATGGTGATTTGTGTTGTGGATGGACATGTATTGTTTCTCATATTAACTTTATCTAATGTTGGCATGTTTCTACCAAAATCTATTTTCAATTATGAACAGCTATATGTCGTAATATCTAGCGTTAAGAACAGGCAGGGCTTGAAAGTTTTGTGCTGCGACAAGGATGAAAAAATGTAAAAGAGGAGCTCGACCGGGTGGAAGGAGCTTTCTTTTTCTTCCACTACTCCCCAGCAGGTTCGCCAAAGCGCTGTAAGGCTGACCTCACTGGTTGAGCCCTAATGGGAGCAGGGATAATAGCTAAGCAATCTTCAGAGGCAGAAGAGGTCTATTTTAGGCTGGGAGGGAATGATCAGAGGAGTAGGAGAATTAGAAGGTGTGGCTACCAAAAAAAAAAAACACAAAGTGGGTGCAGAAAAGCATTAAAGAGATAATAACTCCCATTTTTGTGGGGAGTAGCCGGAAATTGGAAGTCGCCGGGGAAAAAGAAGACGATCGCCGGAGGTTTGCAGGGGAGTTGTTGAAAATTATAGAAGATTTTTTTGCTTGAAGAAGGTTTCAAACGGAAAAACTCCAAATAAGGACGAGAATCGATCATATTCCACAAACGAGCTATAGATCTACAGCTCGTTTCATTGAACATATCTTACAGGTTATGTGTGATTGTGATATACAGTCGCTAAAAGATTTAATCGATAAATGCATAACTTTGGCAAGCTATCATTACGTAAGAGTGTCGTTTCTTAAAACGGAGTGGAGACAAAAGGGATAACAGAGAACCTGCTACAAATTTGAAAGAGTAATATCTAAAATATAGAAGAAAATTTAAAATCTTTAAATTATTCAACTTAATTAGAACTTGTCCTAGTGCAGAATTCGAATCAGTATGGGTGCCTGTGGAGTTTTGCCTTTAGATAACAACCAAATGGTAAACATTATCGTCTTGAACATTCTCATCAACTGGCTGGATCTCTTCTTATATATCATCATTTGTCCAAATTCATAGCAATTTATTGTTCGAGGCATCAGCTGCTGAGAGCTCATTGTACATATCGGCTATTGCTATAGCGAAGTAACTTCTTGCTTGTGGTCGTTTGATCTGCGAGCAGAAGATTTATGGCACATATCAATACAATGTTGGTTTTCTAATTTTCTTACATCTTTTACAAAGATTGAAGTATCTTAAGTGTAAACTTTAAAATTTGTGGTGCAAAACTGCCAGATTAGAGAAGGAACCAATATAACTGCCCCAATTCAGACCAAATATTCCAAGTTAAAAACAAATAAAACAAAATAAAAACGAACTTGCCTTGAATGTTGGAGTCAACAATCCATTTTCCAGCGTGAATGGCTCGAGCATGAGGGTAACAGCTTTTGCATATTCAAAACCTCTAAGCTGCAAAAGTGGATGTGTCTATTATTAGGCAAGGAATTGACAAACACAAAATAATGCTGGTGTACTGTTGTTATAATGACTTGTGGTTATTACTTGAGCTTTCCTTGCAATATCATTCATATCGGACAAAACAACTGCTCTTGCCCGTGGATCAGCACACAGTTGTTCTAAGTTTTGATGCTACACTCAGAAAAATCAAAGAGAATTGTACTGTAAGTAGTTTAAAGGGGGAATATTTGTTAGTAGTAAGCTAAAATAAACTCGAGGGTTCTCTTGCTTTGTTAACACCCCCTTTGACAAGTTCCATTCACTAAATTGCACCAAATGTGAAAAGATATTTGCCATTGTACAAGATAAAGTTCAATTTTTTGTAATTGGCTAAGTACAGGGTGGTGTTTGTAATCCTCCCCAAGAATTATGAAGCAGCCAAAAAAAAAAATAAATAAATAAATAAATAAATAAATTGCCAATTTTGTGGAGACATTAACCTTAATGCCTTCAGCTGAAGCCCATGCTTTTAGCTCATCATGGTCCACAGAAACAATCGCGACCAGACAAGAATTGAGGCTGTCACCTAGCAAAAAATGTAAAAGCAAAACAAATTTTCTCGATTCGGCTTAAAATGATATTACCTAAACTTCTACACAAAAACACATAACGAAAAGAAGGATTATGGAGCTTCATAAGCTTCATACTCTCACCATGTATAAAGCATTGTGCGACAAATTTGCTTGTAACATATACATTTTCTATCTTCTCAGGAGATACATACTCTCCCTGTGATAATTTGAAAATGTTCTTTTTCCTGTCAATGATATAGTAAGACTAAATGTAAACCAAGGAAAATGAGAGACTAAATGAACTTATGCATGAGTTTCACAATTTATTCTAGTAACAATTTCCGAACAAACTTTTGAAGTAATTTTCCAAAAATCATTCACATTAACTCATACCTATCAATTATCTTCAGTCGACCACCAGGTAACCACTGGCCTATATCTCCACTGTGAAGCCATCCATCATTATCTATAGCTTCTCTCCTGATTCAAAGTTACGTAACTATAAAAATTCTAATATTCATCAAAATTCTTTTTAGCTACTATTCAAAAGATACATAGAAAAATATATGATATACGTTTGGACTTCATCTTTATAATAGCCTCTGAACACAATTGGCCCCCTTACACAGATCTCACCACGTGGATACGGTTTATCCTCAGATGTATAGTTCATTTCTGGAACATCCTCAAGTTTTATTTCTGAAAAACGGTTAAGAATGTTTTTTGGTGAAAAAAGGTTGTAAGAAATTGTAACTAATCTTATGTGCTTGTATCAGTATCACTCACCACAAGCACCATTAGGGGGGCCCACATGACCGGATAAATTGTCTGTTTGGTCCATAATGCACATAGCAGAAGATGACTCTGTCATCCCATATGCTTCCAAAACTATGCAATCAAAGCATCTACAAATGGAATATGAGTCAGAAAAAAATAAATAAATTAAAATAAAAAATCAGTATCCTGCCTAATATATGACCAAACTTACACACGTAAAAAGTCCAAAATTTCATAAGACAGAGGCGAGGCACCAGAAACCATGAAACGAACTCGGCCTCCAAGCTTTTGTTTTATCTTATTGAAAACGAGCCTGTCCCATATTAGTGATGGCTTTTTTCCTGGATAAAAAAATAATTCTCCCCATTTTACAACAGTTATTCACACACGCAATTTGTTTTATATGAAGTTTTTTTTGTCAGTACCAATTGTTGTTATTCATGTTTTTACTGCATTTATCAAATACTAAATGCAAGAGAAAGTAGAGTTCACAAAATTTGTTACCGTTAAGAATTAATTGCTTCTTAGCTCTATACGCAACATTAAACAACCTCTCCCTAAGAGCACCAGATGTCTTTACAGCACTCATTATTCTGAAACAAAAACAAAATAAATACTTGAGTGACATTCTACACAACACACTAACAGTAGTAAAATGTTGGACTTGATTTTTTTTCCCTTTTCTACCCTGCGTGTATCTTATTGTATAACCGTGGGACGCTAAAAAATATAGTGGGCTTTAGGACGGCCATATCCTCCAGTAATTTTGTAATATCCTGCAAAAGTAAATAACTATCAAAATTTTGTTCACGCACAAGTCACTTTTAGTAGTAATCACTGACAAAAATTTAATTCATGAGGCAAATAAGTAGCTAAAAAATAACTTTTAGGATAATACTATTACAACAAAACACAAGGTGATCACAACAATATTTATTGCTTGTTATATAGTAACTCAATGCTCTCATCATGTAAAGTGGGATAACTCCTAGTCCAACATTCATCAATATTCATGATATTGAAATTGTCATTTGAAAGTAGGTGGAAATAAACCCTCCACAATGAGCTTGATAAGTACAATTAGCCACTAATTTATATAGACAGAATATTTGAATTATGTCCAGTACTATCTTTACTGCAACTTGAGCTGAATTAAATACATATATTTATATGTAAGGAAATTTTGAGTGTCTTACTCCTTGATAAAATCCAGATGCTCCTCCAAAATACACCAGGATGGCCTGGTTAACTCTCTCATATATGTGAGCCAGAGGTAGATACGAAATATGCCTGGCAAGTAAAACAAGATAAAAAAGCAAAACGTCTATAACATATAAATAAATAAATTGATAATTACATGGAAAAAGAAAAACACATAATATGATTAAACTTACACATCCTGAGCTTAGACCAGCAATACTAGCGATAATGTTCCCATGTGTAATCTCAACTCCCTAATAATGTCGGGAGGAGTAAATGTGATTTTAATTTATTATATAGAAAGTACATTTTTTTTTCCGTACTCAAATTTATACCTTTGGAGTTCCAGTTGTACCACTCGTATAACATATGGTGGCAATAGCATCAGATGTGGGTACCCGGAAAGGTTGAAGGCTTCTACTGCCCTAAAAATCAAGACGTAATCAAGTATGATTTATCTTGCTAATACAATATGAGCTAAAAGATTCACTCTATATTCATGTATTAATAAAAAATAAATACTGACTACACTATGAAGTGTTGAATAGGGAACTATCTTGACGCCTGTTGTCGATGGTAGCGATGGCATCTGCCCTTCTGAGCCTCCAACAACCTAAAAAGAGCTCATAAAGCACGTTAGGACAACCTCGAAATATTATTTAGTGTTTTTTTTTTTTTTATGTTATGTTTTGATATTGATAAATTTGTATTATTAGAATTATTTTGGTCAGGAGATCATACCACAATCAGACGCACAGAAGGAATCTCAGATAAGAAGCTCAGCAGCTGCAAATCAAGTGAAGTTAAGGGAATTAAACAAATTATAATAGATAGATTTTCCATTTGTGATTTCTTTTTTTTTTTTAATAATAGATAGATTTTCCATTTGTGATTTCTTTTTTGCAGATATGATATTCACTATCTTCAAGAATCATGTGTTAATGCTCACAATATTGAACGTCTGAGGCACGCAAAATAAGGCTTGCACGGAGGCATGATTCACAATGTACTTCACTGCATCTGGACCTGATATGTGAAAATGGACCCAAAAAAATTGTGAACAACTTACATTTTTTATAAGGGTCCATTATGGGATTATAATGTAATAGTTATTTTCCTGATCACTACTAACCCAATGTGTCATATAATGGAATTGAAACAAAGGAATATGAAGAGCAGGCATGGTCAACAATAATCCACTCGGGCCGGTTTATGAAATACAGACCAACACAGCTGCCCTGCAGAAATAAAATGAAATGAACATAAAATTAAAAGAACAAAACAAAAAAGAAGGAAAGAAATATATATGGAGAGAATGTAAGAAAAGCCTCATGTTAGATTCTACTACACCAGAATTGAATTCAACATACAAAAAATGAATCCTATTCAAGCTTGCCTTTGGTAACTGATAATTAATTAAACCCGAACCAATTGCTGATCGAGAAGCACCTGCTTCACCATATGTCATCCATTTGTACCTGTACCATGACTTTACATTATGACGTACTTGCAAAGAGTTTGGGCAAAAATTGTCTTTTCTATACACTAGAAACTATATTTTATCAATCAAAAGCTGGTAATCACTGTTTTAAATTGAAATTTCAGATATAAGCTTACTCTCCAACTGTCCCATCTTCACCAACCCTAGTTCCCAAGTAATTGTTGTTTTTGAATCTCTCGACTGCATTTCTGTTATCACCAAAAGGTGAAAAACAAAAGCAAAAACCTGTTCGTGATCAATGTAAAACAAAGACGAAGGAATATATATATATATATATATATATGCTATGTCAAAGTACTTACTCAAAATGATCGTGCAAATTAGCTATGTGGGGATGATTGATAAACCTAGTGATGAGTTTCAAGGGAGAACGTCGATTTCTGTATACATTCCATTTCCCAGTCTGCAATTTCTCGGGAAGCACTACACTGTAACCTTGCTCTGCTAAAAAATTTTCAATTAGAGTTGCAACTTAGCGTACTAGAGAACAGTACAACAAGTTGAAGCTAAAAATGAAAGAAAAATAATAAATAAATAAATAAATAAATAAAAACCACAATATATTCATAATAGAAACTGTTCATTTGCATTAGTACTAACTCAACAACTTTCATCTCGTTTAACAATTTACTAGTTTAGTACTAACTCTTAAATTATTAAGAATCAAGAGAGAGCCCAAAAAAAAAAATTATATTTATATAATTATATGAAAATTATTTAATGCAAAAAATATTTTTTTTCCCGCTCGTTTTTTCAGATAATTTGGAAAAGAACAAAAAAAAATTATATTTTGCATTAATTAATTAATTAATTATATATATTTTTTATGTTATTACATAATAGTTACTACTAACTAATCCTCTATATATAATTCTTGAATGTGCTGAGCTTAAATAGCAGGTTCGCACGCTTGAAAATCGTACGTGACAAATTTTTAAGTTTAGTTGTTGGACTTGGACGAATTTTAATTTATTTTTAATTCAAAATAAACTAGGTTTAGAATATCTATAAATATAATGAATATTTATGGTCCCTTTTAAGGGTGCTAATTATGTTTTAATATCATTCTCTATTTTAGAAGTGGTTTTGAAGGTATAATTTTTTCCCCGTATTTTTTTTCTCATATTTATTTTAAAATAATAACAAATTTACTAACTTAAATTATAAATATATTTAAAAGTTAATAAATTTTTTATTTATTAACAATTTTTTATATATAATATATCAAATTAATCATGTCCTGATTAGTTTCGATTTAACATCTATATTATAAATATAAAATAAATAAATATTTTTATTTATCTTTCTAGTTAAATTAAATTACCTATTAATGTTAATTCAAAAAATAAAGTTATTTAAACTAACTTAACTGCAAAGTAGTTATCTCATATAAATTAAAAAATTATAATATAAAATGGTAAGTCGTATAAGTGACAGTCTCATTTTAAATATAAATAATAATATATTTTTTCAAACAGTATTTAAAAACTAAAAGAAATTGTTGTTATTATTATTTAATTTTAAAAATATTTTTTTCCATCAAATACCCATGTAGTACACGGGTATTGTACTAGTTATAAAATCACACTAAATGATATATTAAGCCAGGGTCAGACCTAGAGTAGGGTGGGTCGGGCGACCGCCCTAGGCCCCTGTTACCCCAGGACCCACTATTATATATTTTTTAATATAAAATATATATTAATTATATACTAAAATATTAAATATAAAATTAATCTTAAATCTCAATTTTTTTATTCTTTACACAAAGTTTTTCATACTTTATACATTTTATACATTTCATGAAAAAATTAATTAGTAATTATTATTGGTAAAGTTAATAATTTTTACATTTTTTCCCTTATTCTTTTAACGCTTTTGTTTTCTCTTCTTGTTTGTATACACAAAATGTTATTTTATATTTGCACAATTCACTTATTTCACCGACTGTCAATAAAAGAGTTAATTGACGTCAGCTTATTTTCAAATGAGTTTTAATTTATATTTTTTTATTTAGTTTTCTTAAACATAAAATAAAAAATTAATAATTTCTAAAAAAAATCTATATAACTATAATTGAGTATTATATACTCCACTAAATTTAAGTTATATATTTAAGTAAAGAAAAGTTTGGAGCTTCCACTATTTATTTTTTCTTTTGATTGAAAAGGATTTTCTCTTTTGTTCATTTGTGATTCTTAAGATATTGTTCAATTTCATTTATAATTATGTCAATTTCACTAAATTTCACTGTTTTTATTATGGTGAGTTACATTATGTTTTTTGTATTAAAAAAAATAAAAACAATCAAAGAGAAAAATTACGACATTTTGCCTAGAGCCTAACAAAACTAATGATCGGCACTGTATGGAGTTATATGCAAATCAAAATTTCTATTGCAAAACTTTTTTTCAAACTATTTATTACAAATTATTATTATCTTTTTTTAACTCGTTAAGCAAAATTTTATTAAAATTGGTTATTTATTTTTAACGGCATAACCAAATCACTTAAAGTTTCGTACACATATTTTATAGTAATATTTTTATGCTAATTAATTCATCAGAATCACTTAATATTATAAAAATAACATTATTGCAATAGATATAGTAATTTATACGTGAGTTAAATAGTTTATATTTATGTTGTTCAAATTTATTAATGATAAAATTTATAAATGTGATAACTTATGCTTTTGAATATTATATACACATACATATAAGTTATAAATTTTATTTTTATTTTTACATATCTATATATATATATATATATATATATATATATATATATATATATATATATATATATATATATATATATATATATATATATATATATATATATATATATATATATATATATATATATATATATATATATATATATATATATATATATATATATATATATATATATATATATATATATATATATATATATATATATATATATATATATATATATATATATATATATATATATATATATATATATATATATATATATATATATATATATATATATATATATATATATATATATATATATATATATATATATATATATATATATATATATATATATAAAGAGGAGCAACAAAACATTTAATTTTATTACCATGCATTAAATTTTATTCTTCCTCCAAAATTTTGAGCATTCAATTTCATTTTTAAGTTACAAAAATAACTTGCTTGAATTCCATAAATTATGAGCATAAACCAATCAAGGGAATTACAAAATTGTACTCAAATTTTAAGTCACACCCACTCATGAAAATGGTCGGGTGTATTAACATAAAGAAAATGGTTGTAACGGCTCTTCCATAGCAATTAGTTGATCAAAATCAATTTTGAGAATTATTTTTTTAATTCATATTTTTTTTCATGAATTAAATTATGATTTTTTTTTTATTTTCTTTTTTTATGTTTTTAAAGTATTCATCTCTGTGCAAATGCACAGGTTGATTACTAGTATGCATTTCATAATGAGCAATAAGAATCACCAGAGCAATAAGAATCACCAGAGAAGAATTCACCGGCGGTGGGCTGTGTGGTGATTGCCGGCGGCGGTTGACGGTTGGCGGTGGCTGCCGAGAGATGATTTCCGAGCGCTAGGAGGCGTCGTTCGGCTCTCGAATCCATAGTTGTTTGATTTTCTTAATTTCAGGGGAATTCAAGAAAAATGCAGAGGCTATATACTACAATGCATATATATTATAATGGGTCTACGCAAGCTTCATCCCCATAGAATAAAACGCATGTGCCTATAGTAGACCATTACCAGCAAGTCTACAATAGTGGTGCTACGTACACACAAAAGTTCGTTACAGCTTAAAGCATAGAAATTAAATAAAATTATATGTGGGATACTTTTTGAAATAGAAATTGGTACCTCAGATATGAAAGTGGTTACGGAGAATAAAATTATATGTAGCGATGCAATTTTTTTTTTTTTTCNGAAAAAAAAAAAATTATTGTATATTCATGAATAAAAATATTAAATATTTGAATTCATAAATACAATCATTGTTAATTAATATTTTATTATTTTATAATATAATAATTAAATTGTTACACTTTTATATTATACATTCACTATATTAAATGATAAATCGAATATGTTCTATTCGTTTGAGATTTCAACTGACATTTTGAGATTTTTAAGAGATTTGACACTTTTTAAGATTTTCAAATTTTGAAGCAATCCTATGAGATCTTAAGGAGTGGTATATTCATTTGGATTTTTTAAAGACTTTTTAAGATTTTAAAAATACTGGTGTACAAAACTTAAATTTTTAAAGACTTTTAAAAGTCTTGTATATTCATTTGTGATTTTAAAAAGTCTTACAAAATCATGATGTATTTAACTTATTTGAGACTATGATTTGTTAAGACCTTTTAGGATTTGCTTATATTTCTAAAGAAAAAATCTTATACGAAATCCCACTCAAAATCACACCTAATGACTTAAGATTTCACAGGATTCTTCCAAAATCTAAAAATCTTAAGAAGTCTCAAATCTCAAAAAATCTCAAAATGTCACTCGAAATCCAAATGAATATACCCCCTAAGTCTGGAGGTGGGATTTAGATGTGAGATTTGAAGTGAGATTTTCTATATGTTTTTATTTTTTATTTTTTATTTTTTTTCTGAAATCCTAGCAAATCTTAAAGTTTTACCAAATCCTATTTTCAAATAAGTTAAATACCTCATGATTTTGTAAGAGATTTTAATATCCCAAATGAATACTTCAAGACTTTTAAAAGTCTAAATTAATTACACCAATAATTCTGAAGTATTAAAAAGTCTTTAGAAATCCCAAATGAATACACCCCCTTAATATTCAAATCATATATTTTAGAAAACAATTATTGAATTTATTAAACACAACTTAGATTGTTAACATGTCAAAAATATTATTGATAAACACAAATGGTCAAGCGTTGTATCTAGCTTATAGTTGAAATATGTAATAGAGCAATTTTAGTATATTTATCTATATGTATATATGTGTATATATATTTATATATATAGGGTCATTCTCCGGTGAGAATGGTGCTTAGTGAAAAAAATGAGAATAAATCTTAGCCATTAAATCTGATCATCTAAAAAAAAAGGACATCATTTGTGCATTCATTAACATGGCGAATTGGAAGGGAACTATCTGCAGACTAATTACTAGTATGATCCAGTTCTTCTATAGCAAGCGGGGGAGTCAAGTCAATAGAATTTGATCAATCCTTTTTTCTGTACTTAAACTTAAGGTGGAGAACTGAGTAATTTGGACATTACACAAATACTGCTGAGATCTGTGAGGATCTCGTTATGTATAAGTCACGAATTCAATAGCAAACGTAAACCTATGCGCAGTGGATATAAAGGTTTGACGTAGAGAACTTACGGCTTAAAATTTATGTAGATATGGTTGACCACGACCGGTTGACCGCAAATCACGTCTTGGGTTGCACGAGCAAGATCAGATCAAAATCGGATCAAACGGATGCAAACAAATCAAAACGAAACTTGTAGCCTGGCAGCTTCCAGCGGCGCGGGAGGGCACATGCGGCGTTGGAATCCGGCGATCTCGGCGGCGATGGAAAGCTCTCGTTGAGACGGTCATCTGGGTATGCTGTGCGTCTCAATCGGACTTCCGGTTAGTTCTGTAGAACAAAATATATTTCGTCTCGGTTTACCTACAGATCTTCTACTGTATTACTCAATACACCCTTCTTCAACTTGTACCAGTGGAGCAACAAGAAGAAGATAAAACTCGAATGAGATCTAGAGAGAGAGAGGCGTGGGGCATTATTCACGTGTGAATGAGATTGGGATTCTCTTCTCATGAGCTTAATGATGTATATATAGAGCTACAGTAGGGACCCTTAGGAGATTAGAAGAAGGGCTCCTTAATTAATTAGACTAACTGTGGGCTAAGCCCACTCCTCTAATTAATTAAATAATATTAATGGGCCACCAGCATTATATTATTGCACTTCCTTTTTCCTAGCCCAAATTACACTTGAGACTCCAATAATAATTACTCAATTTACCTCCCCACGTTTAAGATTTAATGTCCATTAATTAATTCGATTACTGACAATCAAGAATTAATTATTTTATTATTATTTCACCGAAGCTAGCGCTCGTTCATCACATTCTTATTATGCCGGAACTTAATCCACCTGCAGGGTTTAGCATAACAACCCTTCATTAACTCACCCCAGGGACATCATCAAACTAACGCACATGGTGACCGTAAATATCCTAACAGCACATCCTATATATAGTAATATTACCCACAATAGTAGGAATATTAGTCCAGCGAACTGAACCTCACCCATGTGAATCAAAGTAATATATATATTATATATATCTTCCTATTTAATATCTTACGGGTTAAAAGAATGCAGTAATTAACTGAGGCCTAGTTCATTTACGACGATCAGTATAAAATGAACTTCTCCTCTCTGGGATCCTGTTCAATACATAAATGTACTAGTGCAACTAATCAGTCAAGACAAACTGTACAGTTGACACTACAACCGGTCGGATGGGGTGTTCATGTCCATCTAGGTTGTGAACAACTATTCTTGTTCGCAAGTGACTGATAGATTGATCTTCGGTTCGCCCGATGACGACCCACCCTATCTAAGTGTAGAACAACAGAACGTAGAACTTGTTTAATCTAACACGATTCTCATTCATAAAGGGCAAATGTGTAATAACATGCAAAGAGAAGTTTTCAGTATATAACACTAGCAAATACATCTACCAACTCACATAAGTGTGACCCACTACCAACAATCCATCCTACCTCCCAATCCTCTCTCTCTCTCTCTCTCTCTCTCTCTCACACACACACACACACACATAAATGCACAGAGTTTGCACGGCCCTTTGCCTCTAACCACCACTCACAGTGCCGCCGCACCACCCAAGTCGTTCGAAGCCCACCGTCCGAGAATCTGCCGCAACCCCGACGTCTGCCACGCCTCTATAATCAACTCGTCTGGCGACGGCACCATCCTGCTTGTTGTCTAACCAATCGTCGTCGTCTCCTCCCGAAATCTAGACACCGCCGTTGTGGCGGTGCACGACGCCGTGTATCAAATAAATCATTTTCGTCTTTGGTAAATTTACCAAGGGTTATAGTCATAGTGATCCTCCTACAAAGGGCGGAGGATCGGAATTTGTAGTCCCCCGAGTCAAAAAAGAAAAAGAAAAAGTCAAACAACGTAAATTGATACATGTGGTTTTTCAATTTATTCTGGTGGATGTTAAGGGTCGAGATGAATGACTTCCGCAACTGGTGTTGGCAGATGGATCTGATCATCACTCCTTACGTCAGTGCCATCATTGTCTATGTCTTTCTCCTGGATTGGGCCGTCAACCGAAGCACCACGCCCAACCTCCAAGTCGATCGTCGTTGCGTTGCGCTCGGCAAAAACTTCGTGACACTCATGAATCCATACCGATAGAAAAATGCCTGAGCGCCGATCTCAGCCTGTGCATTAAGTTTGAAACTTTATAGGATTATGACCGCATCGCAAAATGCATGAACAAAATAAAATAATTAACCAATTTACTTCGTCCACATAAAACCAGTACATGTGGTTAACACTAACAAGGCCAGCATCACCAAGCCATCGGACTCCTAGAATCGTCAGGAAATTTGAAACTCATCGAAATAATTTCTGAGCGGCTGAATCTTTCTGAATAGAATACTCCTTCAAGGCATAACTCAGCGTGCTAGTTCAGTGAACGTGCAATTTCTGACCACAAGAAATTAAACACAAAGCCTCGGTGCCTTCTCACGGCACTTCTTGGAAAACACTCGGTAGTAAGCTTCTTCCTCACCCACGGTCCACTCCACACCTCGGAAGCAGATTGCGATTTTCTTATTGCATGAGATTCTATCCATTTTTTTCGCAAACGTGCCTAGGTTTTGGTTGCGATAGAAATATTACTCTTGCAATGATTTTTTTATTTGTTTTTGGTTTCGAGAAGTGAAAGGTTAGCATCTAAATCTTTCAATTAATGAGTAGTAATAATAGTGGTATATATACATCAAATCAACTAATGAATAGGTACATATCATTTGTCTAAGTTTTTTACGCGAAAAATTAGATAACCAATGTGTTGCGTAAATTATGCAAATAATGTGCGGAACATTTTCTTCGCATTTACGATTCGTGATATGGATCTGCGAAAAATGGCGGATAGTTACAAATTATGCGACTTTTGATTTGGATATGTGATTCGTGAATTTTCAAATATATTACGCATAATCGTTAATTATACAGTGTTCTAGATTTGAATATGCGAGTCGTAAACTATGCGAAAATAGCTTGCAAAATTATAAAATATGCAACATTTGATTTTGATATGTGATAACTAAATATGAAAAATTATTTCGTATAATTGTCAGTTATGCGTTCGACTTGGATATGAGTTGGTATAAATGCGACCAAATCTTGCATAACTGTTAATTTGCGTTTCATTTTGATATGCAGATAAAAAATATGCGAAATTATTTCGAATAATTGTTAACTATGCATCCGATTTCGATATGCATTGGTGTAAATGTGACAAAAACTCGTCAATTATGCAGTTCATTTGGGTTTGTGATTATAATATTGCAT